AATTTAGGACAGTTAGCTGGGACCACAGTAGCTTGTTTTAGCCTCCTTTCCAGTGATGATACACCTCTCAGCACAAGAATCGTCTTCTGAGCTAAGCCGTCACATGCAATCTCAGTCACTACAAACGTAGCTTTTGGATAGCACAGTGAGATATGTGCAATAGAAGACTGGACCGAACGGCAATGTCTCCCAAAACTCTCGACCAAATCTTTCTGCCGTACGGGAATTGTGCTGAACAGGCCCTGAATCGTGATATCTGTACCACCAGCTGAACCTCGTGGTACCTTAGGCCAGATGAATTTGGAATAGCTGTCAGCATTACACCTTGCTCCCTGTTTCAAAACGGTACTTTCCTCTCTACCATCAATTCCCATTGACTTCACACAAACAGCATCAGCGATGAAGGAGAGCAGTGAGAGATCTTCACCGAAGCCGTTTCCTATGTGTTGCTTGGAAGTGACCTGTGCTTGTGCTGGAACTGGATCCAGTGCTGGATTGCAAGAACCCAGTCGCAGCTTTTTCCCATCATCTTTGATTCTCAAATGCACACGATCATGGCAAATGAGGCTGATGTGCACATAAGTTGCACTCCGTTCCAAACTGCTGTACAGTAGTTGCTCCACACATGTCTCTAGCGATGTAAACCTACACGATGATCTCACCTTCTCTGCTGCAGCAGATTCCAGGAAAGTAATGCCCATTTTCAAGTTGTTCATTGTGCACTGCTTTGGCAGCAGCACACTCATCAAGTTCAGTCACTCGCCCAGTATTCCAACTATTAAAACCGGCAATGGACTATTGGTACACTGAATATTTCGACGAATCAGATGACGGATGACCATCCACGGCAGCCAGTCATGAGGCAATATGCCACTAAGATGTTGGTTTGCAAAAACTCTCAGAGACTGACTGTTGGACTGGTACGTAGTAATGGTGTCAAGAAAGCCAGGACCTACTTTGTAGGAGGTGATTCCTGCGCGGATTCGAATCTTCTTGTTTCCACTATCTAAAAATAATAATAATCTGCTCATTCCGCGACTCGACTGCGAGCCTATGCAAACAAGTCGCTGTCGGTCCTGCACATATCGGGTAACCTTTGAACTCGTTGAGTCGAGTACGGACGATTATCCATATAAAAATCGCTCTGTGAGCGGTTCTAAAAAACCTTTACTGGTACTGCCCCGTCGTAAAAGTAAGAAATTAGAACTGGCCCATTGTCCCCCCAAATGCGAACTGATCCACCTAAATCGCGAATGACGGGACCCGAACGCACCAGTAGCACGAGGTCGGGAGGGCACAGGATCACGGCAATTATCATAGGGTAACACCAGTAGTAGTAGTAGTAGTAGTAGAATTTATTATTTTGATAGGGAAGCCTACCGCTAGTACAGTACATGGCCTATGGTCCGGACCAACGTCCCCATCTGCATCCACAGGTAGGAACCTCGTGCTACTGGTGCGTTCGGGTCCCGTCATTCGCGATTTAGGTGGATCAGTTCGCATTTGGGGGGACAATGGGCCAGTTCTAATTTCTTACTTTTACGACGGGGCAGTACCAGTAAAGGTTTTTTAGAACCGCTCACAGAGCGATTTTTATATGGATAATTTCAGCTCTTTTTCCGTTCCCTCCCCACCCCAACCCCGAAGGTAAACATGATGACCACGCGCGCGATGTACTGTATGTAGCCATGCGACTGCAATAACACACTGATACATACCAGCCCTCCCCGCCTCGCTACCACGCACACAGATACACAAACATGTGTATGCACACGGCACACACACGTGGCCACGCACACATACGCACATGCACACGGCACAAACAGGAAATTCTTCATGTATAATGCCATGCAAAGCAGTGGCCACCGTACTTGAGGAAGTCAGTTGTGAAACAAAAATAATTCAACTACAGCGTGTAGACAAGCTGACGGCCAAAGCACAACATAGCAAACATGACATTTGCCCAAGGATTGCAGTTTGCAGACCATGCCATGGAAGCAGCGAATACAGAATGTAATATCATACAAAGTGACAAGCAAGGACGTGGCCATCATACACCAGAAACTTGCAGAAAGTCACATATCCAACAGATAGAGAAGTGAACAGCAATCTGATACAGCCCACACAGGACAAAGCGGACCTGATCCTCGTCCCAGGATCGCAAGTGGCAAACCCTTTTCAATGCATAACATGCAGGTGTACGTTAGACGCATGAACATCTGACCGTGTCGCCAGCATACAATGTCATCACATGTTTACCCCACAAGTTACACACATGCACAGTAGAAGGACAATGAAAGCAATGGAAAAGTACGATGTGGTTGCTGAAGCATCTTCACACTTCAAATTCAGACTTCAATGTGGTCGTCACGGGATGATATACCTGCAAGATACAAGTGATGAAGAAAGAAAGCAGAAGGTCGTGAGGTAGGCTATGAGACACCACAAACGGTTCACCTACATGTCTGTTCAGGGCTAGTGCACTCACACGGAGAATTGTCATAATCGAGCATTTCCCAAACTGAGAAGTGCAATGAAATCCACTTGCATGCACAGGAGCAATTTTGCAATATTATGATGCGCAATTCGACACGATCTGCGATGCTGCGTGCGATGTGCCCTGCTGTCATGATAGTGACAGTCACCGCAGTATGTTTTGTCAACGTCGCCCGTGCACTCTTCTGTCAAGTCCAAAGTGCTCACATACTTGGCAATGTTTTTGCAGTGATTAACTTTTATCCTAGTTATGTCACGGGTAACTTTAATGAAGTACCCGCAGGCCGTGTCGATCTGCACATCGTCCACTCTCTCATGTACTTGGCCTGCTTTGTCTGTGTATCCATTTCATGTGCGATCCACAAAATCGACTAGACAGTGGGTGCAATACGCCCTCTACCTGAAGACGTTCTTCTGGCGACATCTCGCCATGTACTTGGCCTGGCTTTGTCTGTGTATCCATTTCATGTTCGATCAACAAAATCTCAATGCACTACAGAGACTAGACAGTGGGTGCAATACGCTCTCTATCTGAAGACGTGAACCATTAACTGGAAAAGTTATACGTACACCTGAAACGTAATGAAGTACAGGAATTTAGAGAGTGACTACAATACGCTCTCGACCTGATATAGTGATAACGTGAGTACAAGACACTCTCCACCTGATAACGTGTTAGAAGGTAACATGTCTACAGTCCCACCGTACCCTTCCGACACGACTGTGGACCATTAAATTTTTTGGAGAAGTTATACGTACACCTTAAACGTAATGAAGTACAGGAATAGAGAGAGTGACTACAATACGCTCTCGACCTGATAACGTGAGTACAAGACACTCTCCACCTGATAACGTGTTAGTAGAAGGTAACAGGTCTACAGTCCCACCGTACCCTTCATCATTCCTCATCCACCATCGCGCGATACCCTGGCACACACTGGCAACATATCAATGGGGTGCCTTACCGTCGTCTAGAGGAGACGTCTTCGCAGCAATATTTTCCCTCCTGCGCATTCAGTCGCCGACGCGACAGCGTTCACGGGGCCGTTCCAGTTGCGGAAGACATTCGATTCATCGGGCCAATTCAGAAACAGGGCCGTGGACACACAGGGGGCAGAGGAGAGACATTGTTAGTGGACAAGAAATATGCAGTGGCAAGTGGCGAGTGCCGCATGGGTGTCAAGTTGTCATGCACAATTCAGCTATTACTTACGGTCCAGCTAGTCCTGCCAATGCTCGCTCGTCCTGGTTCCTCCTCGTTCGTCTTCCTGCACGTCTGCACTTCTCCTTCCCCACCGTTGGCTTTGCGGTACGGGGGTGCCGGAAGGAATTCCCACCATGTATCCATGTACATGAAGTCCCACCATGCACCATGACTCTCCATGTACATGTCCACGGCCACGTCAGCAGTTTGTATAGTACCGGAAGGAGTTCCCACGATGTCTCCAAAGGCCTAGAGCGGACGTCTTTGCAGCAATTCTTTTCGCCCTGCGCATTCAGTTCGCCGACGATGTCTCCAAAGGCAAAGGCCTAGAGCCTAGTAGAGGGGACGTCTTTGCAGCAATTCTTTTCACCTACATGTAGTACCCTGCACATTCACTCCGCCGACACGACAGCGTTTACGGGGCCGTTCCAGGTGCAAAAGGTCCACGTCAGCAGTTCTCAACTATTTCGCGTACGGGATAGTCGCCGCGACAGCGTTTAAGGGGTCGTTCCAGGTGCAAAAGGTATCCATCAATGGCACTTTGCAGTATGGGGTACGGAAAAGGGGCCTCCTCGTTTGATTTCGTCGACTTCTGCAGTTCTTCTTCCCGTCAGAGGTACCGAAAGGGGCCTCCTCGCAGTTGTCCTTGCCGTCAGCTCCACGTCATGCAGTTCTCAACTATTTCGCGTACGGGATAGTCGTCTTTGTCGTACGCGACATCGGCGTTTACCGAGTGGCATTGGCACAAAGCAGACCGTTGACGGGGTCACGTGTCAAAAAAGTATCAACAAAGTGTCGACTACGTGTCGACCACGTGTATAGCGGTACACTCAGCGGTACACTAATTCTCGTGCCATTCTCGTGTCACAAAACTGGAACATCGAGTACCAGTATGGAAAGGCTTCAGACAGGAAGCCTTTCCAATGTCCAGTGCAGTGCCAAACAGTGTGCACTGACAGTCTGTGCGTCATGGACCGGCTACGGAGCTCCGGAGGCAGGTGACTGCTGAAGTTCTGCCGGACACCATCAAAAAAGGGGTTTACCCATGAGTTCTTCTCGCATGTCTGTTGAACGGATTCAAACTCAAAGACCGATAAATCATGTATGACAAGAAAGTACTACACCAAGCTGACAATTCACAAACTGTGACACTTGAAGATCGGTACGCGGTGTGCTCCATCCAAAACTGGCAAAAGTGTTACTTGCGCAAAATCGGATGATAGGATCGTCTGAAAGATCGAGTCAGTGACAAGACCTGACTTCAAACCGCTCAATGATTACTATCATTGATTACTGCTTCGAGTGAAGTGCTCTCAGCAGCTAGTGATTGACAGTACGTCTCAGTTTACTAGTAGTTGGTGCGAGATCATGGAAGGCAGTCAAGGACTTCGCTTTGCTGCAAATATATCAGATGGATTCCTCTTCTCCGAGGTCAATTTCCTGCAGCGCTTCAAGGCAGCAAAGGATTCAGGTACCGTACAATGCACAGTATCAGATTGCTGGGATGGATAGTTGGTGGAACAGGGGGTAGTAAAATAATTATTTTACTACTCCCTGGTGTAGACTGACTGAGGCAATTATACATTTTTGAATTTTTGTAGATTTTTTGGTGCATCGAGTACATGATTGTGCTGTTAATGTGTTATGGTCATCGAAATCCGCTGGGAAGTCAAGCGGCTACGGGGTGCTGGCCTTGCAGCCGTGAGCACTGCTACATGCTGGTCCATTTTTACAGTGTGCATGTGAACTACAGTGTGTGTGCTTGCTAAGGCAATAAGGGCGCCGGCCCTGGTTACTCCATCGGATTTCAATGTCCGCACCAGTACATGTTTCTTGATCTGGTACACGTCATAGATACGTGCATGTGCAGTACGCTCCACGTGTCCATCAGCCAATAAATGTTTGACTTTTGATACATAATAATGCTATCCTTCTGTACGCACAAATTGGGTTTATACAGACGCTGATAAATGGCTTCCAACACTTTTAACCGTAACCCATATCCATGACGACCATGGCACAATACAGTGAAACAAGAATTAGAATACGAATTGCAACAATCAGGACTAGCCACAAGATGACTGTACACTGGAGATTTTCTACTACGAAACTTGCATACAGCACAGTGACTCTCACCGCCACTCTCCTGACCATTCTCCTCCTCGCTCCCCGACTTCTCACTGGAGCGAGGAGGAGAATGGTCAGGAGAGTGGCGGTGAGAGTCATTGTGCTGTACGCAAGTTGCATAGTAGAAAATCTTCAGTGTACAGTCATCTTGTGGCTAGTCCTGATTGTTGCAATTCGTATTCTGATTCTTGATACATGTCAATAAATTCAAGCGTGCGTAGATGAAGACTCTGCAGATTGCAGTAAAGTGCTGAATAGGCAGTGCGTAGTGACTCTGCCACCATGAAATATCCATGGGGAAATTGATTTTGTCCACAGAGTTTTCGGACAAGAGTTAAAAGCCAGATGAGATTGGTTGGAAAGATTGTTTACCTTCAGGGGACGTTGTGACGTTACCGTATTTCCCCGATTATAAGTCGTACCCCCATTTTCAGGTTGGAGCAATATCGTTTTGACATGTATTGACTTCAGTAGTAAGTCAAGTTTGATTGTAAGTTGCACCCCATTTCCACCCTTGATTTTTGTGTAAAAAAAAAGGCGCGACTTATATTCGGGGAAATACGGTACTTTGCTTTTCCTTCTACAGTGTGTGCGAATAGATACAATCTAGGAGACGAATCAAGGACTCATCGTGACTGCTGCCACCAACTTCGCATCTTTTAAAAGGCTTTTTTTGTATGTCTATAATATGATGTGTTATCATGTCGTTGTTTGTACACTGTATCAGGGTTTAGCGGAGTTGAGTGTGCCTTCCCTGCCAGTGTCACACTAGACAGTTTTGTCAGTGCACAGAAAGCCGCAGGTATCCAACACGTCCATTTGAATCTTCCAGCAGGTAGGCATTTACTAATTCCTATACATGTATGTATGTATGTATGCATATGGGCATGTCTATGTCCATATCCGCATGTGGCGGACGCATGTGTGTGTGTGCACGCGCAAGCACGTGCGCATGTGTGCGCATGTGGGTGTGGATAAATCCCTTTACATGTGCATGTACCTACTAAGAGAGGTTCTACTGTAGTTGGCTTAGTGGATCTTAATTCTGTGTTGCCATCTTCCATAGGTCCGTCAAATAGTAGTAATAGGTTTTTCATTTGACCCGACGAGACCACACGACCCGTCATCCGTCATCTTTATGGAACGAAACAAGACTTGTCAGGAGTAATACTACTTGCTTTCGTGGAGTGTGGCTGGTGAACTGTTCGTGTTGTGGTCTGCAAGCGTCGTGTGGTCTCGTCGGGTCAAATGAAAAACCTATTATTAGTAGATCGTGTTGGCTGGATGTATGATTGATCCTTTCATCCTGGTTGTTTGTTGGGGACTAATGTGTTGCTCATTGTCTGATGGCGATGTATGTACTTGTAGGTGATTGGGCTGCTGGTGAACGTGGTATTGCAGCGAATCCAGCCAAGGTCAAAGAATTCCAAGAGAGTGTGGAGACAGGAGTGAAGTATGCCAATGCACTGGGCTGCACAAGGTGCGTCGCGAATTGACTTTGCTTCTTGCAAGCCTGGAAGACTTTATACAGTACTATATCCTTGATCTGCGGACAGAACCGTTTCACCCCTTGTGGACTCATCAGCGCAGCACCAGAGAGAATGACGCCGAACCTGATAGCATTGAAAAATAAAATTTTCCAAAGCTAGATTTAAACCAGGCCCTAATGTACCTTGCCAGAGTGCTCAAACTGACAAGTCAGCGAGCTCTGCGTAACACAAACAGCAAAGGCACTACCCCACGTGAGATAACATTGCTGTATCAGTATTAGACTTCTAATCGATGCATCTTGCATTTGTGTGCTGCTGATTGATGACTCGACTATAGGGTACATGCACTGGCTGGTGTAGTCAGTGAAGCATGTGATAAGGAGCAATGGACGAGGACATTTGTCGAAAATTTGAAGTGGGCAGCAGATCAACTCAGCAAGGTACTGCAAGCTGTTTCTGCTTTTAGACTTTTGCGTCCATTTTGCAATGTTGTATTGTGCTTATCTAATGGTAGATCAGCGCTTTGGCCGAGTGCTTGCAGGCTTGCCTGCGAATCATAAGGTCCCGAGCTTGAGACCAGTACTGCAGCAGGGAGCGTATCTTGTGCTAACACATGTGGTGATGCAGGGTAACATGGGGGCAGCTAACGAGGTTCGTCTCCCGCCCTTGCGAACTTTACTTTTTATCTATAAATGGCAGTGCTCTGCCACACACGTACCATGTAAACTGTTGCTTGAATAAGCTGACTACATACTGCAGCGTCTGTTATTTTAATGAATACTCAAATAGTAGCTCACAACTTACAGATTCCTTGTTCTTGGTGTTATTTCTGCAGGAGGGGATTCTTCTTCTCATTGAGCCAATTTCTACAATTCCTGGGTACTTCCTGCAGCACCAGGAACAAGGTTGGAAGAAAGTGAAGCCAGTGTGAATGCGTGTTTTCAAGACTATGCCCAGAATAATCGAAACATGCAGTTACTATAGACCAAATGTCAAACAATATTCGCAAACAGCAAAAACACAGTATCACACGTAACGACGAAGCCACTCGTAATTCAGAATTACGAGTGGCTTCGTCGTTACGTGTGATGCTATGTACCACTATATCCCAAATCAGGAATACATATAATGTATTCCGACTTCGACATGATCAGACTTTTTCCGTTTGTGTCTTTCCCTCCAACCAGTGAACATATCATATAATATTATGTTGTAATAATGGGATGAAGCATAACAATAGAGAGGTTAACCCTTTGGAGTCCATGGTTCGATTTCGAACCATGGACATTTTGCATGCATGTGGGCGCAGTGAAACCTTCGGTTCTCGGCCAAATCTTGACCAAATCCAACAATCAAAGGGTCTAGGTGGTACAGAAAACTCTCACCTATCGCCCCGAACAGGTCCGAAGTCTCTCCGATGAAGTTTGAGTGAGCGGCGAGCGATCCAACATTTTGAAATTGCTGCGCTGCATGCTGCAAGTCAGCAGTGCGTGAAAAAAAGGGACTTTCCCACCTTCACGACAGGCGGCACGTGCCAGGCGCGGCGCGAAGTCACGGTAAGCTTCTACTCGAAAACATTTGAACAGGTCCAAGCTAGATTCAGTGAACATGGTGAAATGGCTGCAGAAGACCGACTTCGTCTCAGATCTGGAGCTGGACTCGCGTTTGGAGCGCGTTGTGGCGAACAATGAGTAGTGCTCTTGGCGAGTTTGGGCTCATTGTATTTCTCTCATCAAGAGCTTTCCAACGAGCCCAAGATCTTCAAAATCGGTGAAGAAGAACCAAAGTTATGTTGGAAATTGAGTGCGCATTTTCGTGACTGCCACAAATTCTGCGGAAGCAAAAAAGTTATGGACTCCAAAGGGTTAAGTGACTCATTTGTTTCATATGAACGAGTCAATGGGTCAGGTCTGGGGTAGAGCCTCTTAGATTGGATTCGTTTACACAAGTCCGGGCTGTTTGATTCGTGAGCAGCTCTGAGTTCGCACTGTCCCGAAAAAGGATAACATCCTGGCAAACAAGAAGTATGATCTAGTACCCCGTATTTCTGATGCTGTTTCTGATGCTGTTTCAGTTGCCGTTGTGTTGCCCTGGCAATCAAAACGCACCTTGATCACGAGTCACTGAACGTCTTTTACACATTACACAATTCAAACACAAATCGAAATCTATTTTGTCTAGTGTACGAGTTCGTAACGAGTTCACAACGAGTCACTGAACCTCCCTCTTATCAGTGTATACCGCTTTGTTGGCGGTGAAGTGGTGATGAAACGTTCACTGGAAAATGATAGTGCAAGTTGTGCCAGGTGTGAGAGCACTGTAACTGTCATAAGCAGGCGGGAAATCAAAAAGAGCACAATCTGCCACACAAACAGGATTGACTATTGAGTTTTGAGGCAGTGACATGGTTGTGCTTCATTACATTTTACCATGATTGTACTTATTTGGGAGACAGTGGTATTGAAGGCCTTATCGGAATTACAATCGGCTTCGTCGCTATGGAGTACTCGTACCATAGTAGCATCGGTTACAATTTTTTTCAATAAAAACGATCATGAAAATATATCTGATTTACAGTGGTTGATTAGCATCTCAAACTCTCACCTGAATTTGGATGATCGGCGTACATCTTGATTTGAAGATATGAAAGAAAGTGATGTCTATTCCTAGTTTTTCTTTCTGTTTTCTGGTACCATCTAATTTCAGCACTGGATATTCTCCACAAGGTCGGCCACAGCAACTTGAAGCTTCAATTTGTAAGTGGTTGCTTCTTGCAGTGGTATGAGTGAGCGACCAAGTACTGGTTTGCAATGCAGACAACTGTAATGCTATTATATGATCTGGTGGTATGTTATGAGTACTGCGAAGATCTCTATCTTCTCTTGTTCAGTTTGCTGACTAATCCTGACCGTCCATTACCAGGATGACGATGTACATGCAACTTAGTACTATCTTGTAGATATACTGTCACCGTTCCTGATACTTCCTGGTTCTTTCTAAACAGTACTGGTACTTTGCTCTGTGTCTTCTCTTGTTATTTGCTCCATGATAGGATATATACCATGCTCAAAGAATGGATGGAAATTTATGTGACTTCATGTCAAAGAACATCCACTCTATTGGTAAGCTGTCCACTTATCCTGGTCTCTGTCCACTTATCCTTGCCCCTGTACCGGCTACAGTTGTGTGGTGTAACAAATATGATAGCCCAGATCAGCAAAATGCACACTCTACAGTTAGCAAAGTAAAATTGTCCCGGACT